TTTGAAGCCAGCATGTTTTGGGATTGGCTTCATTATCACTTCACAATTAAGTTCTTCCCACATGATTTCAACAGTTCACTTGAAATCTGAGTGCCTATTCTTTCAGCTTTGTAGTTCATAGAATCATAGCATGATGATCTTAATTTGTTAATATTTTCACAGAGCACATTCTGGTTGCTTTGGTGTTTGTCTCAGCAAGATTCCATGTTAACTTAAATCCTTGAAGACTACCCAATTTTACATTAATTCTCTAATGCTATGGAACAAAATGCAATTTTCTTTCCATTTCAGTGGCTTTGTTTTTCTTCGATTGATTTGTCCTGCTATCCTGAACCCAAGGATGTTTAATATCATCTCAGGTGACTAAATGCTTCAGATTGAATCTATACGTTATACAGCAGGAGGCATGAAATCGCTTGTAATGTCTAATGCAGCAAAATATGAAGTTTCTTCAAATACTCTGTTCAAAGTCATGTTATCCATGTCACTTGGCTCACTTCTCCTTAAGACAGCTGGCGTATGCTTTTCTCCCTTAAAGGTTTGATTGTAGTTATCTCCAATGTAATTTTAAAGTCCAGAGAAACATGCATTGTTGATATTTAATAATAACTTTTTGAATTAAAGTCTAGCATTGCTTAATGTATTTAGCAATGGAAAAATGGAATTTTGGGATCTTCAGATGTCGCTTTCAATACAGTGCAGTGCCAAAGTTAATGGCTGAATTCAATGGTGTCTCTGAAATGAGCAAGATTTATAAAGTTCATATGTTCCTGCAGAGTTTGGAATACATTTGTGGACCTAGAAAATCATTCCAGAACAACTTGTTTGAATGTCCTGCCTACATGGCTTCCAGCCATTGGAGAGGTCTTTTGACTCATTAAATATAGTAAAATCTCAAATACAGAATCTTACAGATGAGAGAGGGGCAGCATTCAGAAAGGGTGAAAAATAGGAGGAAATAAAAAATCTGGTTCAGAAAAGCTTGTTTTCTTCATTCATAGACAGTTTTTAAGACAATGTAGCATGTTTTCTATCATCAGTTTTTAAGCTGTATTAAATGAGAAGAACTGGGTTGAACAGAGTTTCTTTCTTTCTCTCACAAAGTAATACTTTCTGTACATGGTTTGGAGAAAGCATTTGAGAAACACGGCCTGGATCCTTTCTTTAGCATTTTATTATCTTCGAGTAGTTTGCAAGTTAGGTACCTCCTAATTTGGGTTGCACTGTGACTGCAGGTGTAAAAAGTCAGATTAACAAGTTTTTTTTGGACATCATTAAAGCAGCTTGTTTTATTTCATCAAGTGACATCTTTTACATGATGTTATACTATTAAAATTATATTTATATAATGTTAAAGATACATCATTAAAAATATGAATGGGAAAAGAACTCTTTTTATTTGTGACTGCTATTAATTTTAAATGAATGGCCAGTAACTCTCTATTTTGCAATCCTGCCAGATTCTCCTTCCCCCACTGCTGCAAGAACGCTGACGCTGGTCGCCAAGTCTGTGCAGAATTTAGCAAATCTCGTTGAATTTGGAGCTAAGGTGAGTATAATTTTACACAGAGGACAATGTGGAACTGTGTTTCCAGTACATTTTTTACATGTACTTGTGTAATGCATGCAAAAATCTGTTGCTATTTTCTCATGCTGACACTCTGACATTTTCTCCTCAGATTCTCCTCTTTCTGACCTCGGATTTATTACTCCTTAGTTTGGTGTTTTCTGTGGAAGAGCACCTCAAACTCTATCTGTATTCACTGTCATACTGCTAGACATAATTAATGGTGTAAGTCAGGTGTACATATTGCACTAAAAAGCCCAAGCTTTCAATAAAGTATCAATTATAAGACTAAGAGAATGCCAGCATTAACTGGTCTATCTCAGTTCCCAGGCTGAAACATTGCTAAAAAGAAATTTGTTGATGTACACATAATTAACATGAACGCAGGCTGGCATTACAGTTATTTCTCTGACACACAGAACTTGGAATATAAGAGTTAATGAAAAAAAAAAAACGAGAAGGGGGACACTTATTCCTGATCATGCCTCTGAAAGTAGAGCATCTGTTCATTGCAGCCAGGTATTGAGAGACACTCATCTTAATGCAAATTCATAATGGTATCCATGTGTAAGAAAAATTCTGAATCGGAGATTCTCAATCTTCTGGATACAAGAAAATACTGAATTCTGTATTCTTTTGTGTGGTTGCACACCAGACATTAGAAATTCACTTGAAAAAAGATAACATTATTCCAGTTTAAATACTTGGTTTGCAGTGTCATTTGCCTGACTGCGCTGTGTTCCCTTCAGATGTGACAATTATCTTGGCATTACTTTGTTAATGAATGCTCTTTAAAATTACCAGGAGCCATATATGGAAGGGGTAAATCCATTCATCAAGAGCAACAAACATCGCATGATCATGTTCTTGGATGAACTTGGGGTAAGTGGTTAAAAAAATATTTATTGAAGTTACATAGCAGCATTATAAATTAAAATTCTTTACACTTCTTATTAACTAGCTCAAAAGTGCATTAATTTTGAATGCTTATAACTGAATACATTTTTTAATGCACGTTTAGAGACTACAGATTGCTTGTCTGTTACATGGAATTAAAACCATCAAATATCTTCCTAGACTTTATTAATTTAGTGCCTCTGTAAATGTGAGAAGCTCAAAATAGATTTTATAGCCATGAGACTAGAAATTTTGGCCAGCAATACAAACCTTTAAAAACATGTTTTAAACCAAAAATTTTTATGTCTAATTTGTCACATGGTTTTGACCAGAGATGGAAATTAATTTTTGGTTTAAAAATTACTAGGTCGAATCTTGGTTAGCATTGCCAAAAGTGTCACTGCATGCATTCTGTATATTGTAGTTCACCACTCTGGGTGAAGAACATCTTCTACTATCCAACCTAAACTTCCTGACACAACTTCAGACCATTCCCTCAGGTCCTGTCACTGGTCACCACAGAGAAGAGATCAGTGCCTGCCCCCTCCTGTTCTGCTCACTAGGAAGCTGTGTAACTGCAGTCAGGTCTCCCCTCAGTCTCCTCTTCTCCAGGCTGAACACACCAAGTGACCTCAGCTGCTCCTCAGGCCTCCTCAGCTTCCCCTCAAGGTCCTTCACCATCTTCGGTCCCCTCCTTTGGACACTGTCTAATACCTTAATATCTTTCCTGTATTGAGGTATCCAAAACTGCCACAATATTCAAGGTGAGGCTGCCCCAATGCAGAGCAGAGCAGGACAATCCCCTCCCTTGCCCAGCTGGCAATGCTGTGCCTGATGCCCCCCCAGGACACAGTTGGCTCCTGGCTGCCAGGGCACTGCTGACTCATATGCAACTTGTCATCGACCAGGACCCTCAGGTCCCTTTCCATGGCACTGCTTTCCTGCATCTCATTCCCTGTTCTTTACCTACATCCATGGCTGCCCCATCCCAGGTGCAGAATCCAGCACTTCCCCTTGTTGAACTTCATATGGTTGGTGATTGCCCAGTGCTCTATAATACACAACAAGAAAGATGGACTGGAGATTTAGCTGGAAAGACCAAAATTGGTCTTGGCATCCTAAATCTGTGTTTTGTTCTGTTGAAGAATGTTCCCGAGCTCCCAGACACTACAGAGCACTCTCGGACTGACCTGTCCCGGGATCTGGCAGCCCTGCATGAGATCTGCGTGGCACACTCGGATGAGCTCCGGACGCTCAGCAATGAGCGAGGTGTGATGCAGGTAAGGTAACACCAGGCAGGGTCAGTAAGCACATCACAGGTAGAGGTGGCATGTCCAGAGTTACTCCTCAGTACTGGGATTCTTTTGTAGTATTTCTGTAGCAGTGTGACTGATATACATTTTAAAATACTGGCATTTCACCAGGAGGTTATTAGCTGTGAAGATAAATACTTAGTCCATAGTTTTGTTTCTTCGTGCAGCAAAACCAAATTGGGGTATTTTTTTGAGTTTTCAGAGGAAGTGTTAGTTTCTGGCCTTAAACACACAAAATTACTATATCCCGGCAGGCTCTCTGGGTCATTGGTTTTCAGATCTTGGGTTTTTTTCAGCTGAGAACTAAATTAGCTTTCTTTTAATACCTCATTTATCCTCGCTAGTTTGCCAGTACACTTGTACACCTGTAAACTTGGCAAACACCTGTATGCTTTCTCTGCCTCCCTTTTTTTTAATTATTTTTAATATATTTAAACTACCTACTCACAGGTCTGATGGGCAGATGCTGAAAATGCTGCTCAGGGAAGACAGTTCTGTTTCCAATACCTAATGTGTGGTTTACTGACTCTCTCTCTACAGCATGTTCTTAAGAAGCTTTTGGCCATTACTGAACTGCTACAACAAAAACAAAATCAGTATTCAGTGTCTAACAACATCAGGTAGCAGCCCTCTACCTGCATTCTGCATGGATCCAGCATGCCTGACATGGCAACTCAGACCAGTACCACTTTCTTCTTGCTCTTGCCAAAAACAGCACACCCTGTCACGTTCCCAGTGATGTGTGAACTATGCAAAAAGAAAACAAAGATCCTGCTGGTGAATAATTGTACCAGCAGCTTTTTTAAGCTATCTGTGCAGGACATTTGCACTTTTTTTTTCCACTTGGAAACAGTTTTCACAACCTCTGAGCCTTGGTGTAGAGTTCACCCTCCGCAGTGAAAATGCTGTGACTGTGTCTTGGACTTTGAAAATTATTTTCAGCACCTCTGATTGCCAAAGTTTTTGCTGTCTGGTTGGAAAACAATTATCAACTGACATGAGAAGAAATGTGTCATTCTGACAACCACCTATAACTGGATAACATTTCTTACTGTAATTTCTGAGTGGTGACAATAATTATGACTTTTGACTGTTTCAACCACTTTTAACTTGTATTTACAATTTTCAGAATCTGATGTTATGGTAGGAACAATCTTTACTGTACACTTTTTATACCATACTGTTTCTCTCGCTGGAATTATGTGGAAAGAGAATATGCAGAATGGGTCTTGTCAGCTTTATTTTTTTGATGTGCCACTGATTCAGTCTGAATAGTTCTTCCATCAAGAACTGTATATCCGGATAAATCACAATGCTTTTGTAAAATGTTTACAACAGTAAATAATTTGAATTCAGTAAATTTATTGATCATTGTATCAGACATGCATGCGTTCATTAAACCATTTTATAAAATAGGTATTGTTTGGTCTTTTGTGTACTGTAAGTCTAGCATAAATATTATTTTTATAAGTGAAAAATGAGTTTTTAAAATAAATCAAGCTGCGTATCAACTGTATGGAAACTTGCTAACTTTGGCTGCTGTGGAAATTTTTTAGTGTCTCTACATGTGGTGTACTTTAAAATGTTCACACTGTCACTTTTTCAGCATAAATCCTCAAAACAGCATTACCTTGTCCATACGCCTTAATTTGTACATGACAAGGTGAGAAAGTAGATGTTAAAACATCCTGGGTGGGTTGAGATTTAATAAAAAGAAATTCTTCCCTCTGAGTGTGGTGATGCACGGGCACAGTGCCAGGGAAGCTGGGGATGCCCTATCCCTGGAAGCCTTCAAGGCCAAGCTGAATGGGGCTTGGAGCAGTCTGATCTAGTGGAAGGTGTCCTTGCCCATGGCACTGCCACAGAGTGTTTAAAAAAATGAAAAGTAAAATGTGCTGTTGATTCAGAGGGCACTGCAGCATCACCACGTGCTACTTTTCTAGACAGTGGTCTAATAATAGGGCATAACAGGATGCTGAGATTCAATTACAAGACTGAGATAATCAAGTAATTTTATTACATGAATGTTGTTGATACACCATTAGAACACCTACACTGCTGCTTCTCCTGTCTATCAGAACTGCTTTTTCAATTCACTGTCACATGAAATCAGAGACTTTACTTTTAGGTCTTTGCTGTAGTATTATAGTGGCTCTGCTGTGCTGACCCTGGTGTCCAGGTGAACTGCTTCCTTGAAATGAGTCCAGTGCTACAGCTGAGAGCTCCCAAGTGTTGCAAGTACTGCACTCAGCAGGCATAGATGATGCTCCCCATAGTGACAACACACCTGTTTGCAAGACCTTGGTACCACAGAAGTGTTTTTTTAGATTGTCCCATAACCGTGTGAAGTCTGTATTAAACTGCATCTGAGAGGAATAAGTAATTAACAATCTCTCATTCTGCCGTACTTAGATCTTAACAGAGTTTATAAAATGGATTATTTTGTGGATTGAGGTGGCTGGCTGTAGGCAGTACAACATGGTAAAAAAAATTGTTGAGCACAGAGATGCCTGGTTAATCTACCTGTTACATACAAAATGCAGCAAAGAAAATGAAACTGGGCAACGCCCAAAGCTGCATTTAAGTGTATGTATTGTAAAACTCTTTATGTTTCAATGGGGTATATGAAAATGGAACAAATTAGTGGCTGCCATGCTCTAACACTACACGCACAGCAAACTGTTCCTGAACCACAAACGAGTGGCAGATTTCTAAAAGCAAGTATTTCTTGCTAATACTTGACCTTTCATGGATGAGGGTTTAAAGGAACCACAACTGATTTTAATTTAACAAAGTAACAAGCTTTTTTTCCAAGATAAACACTGGAAGCATGAAAACTGTATGACACAGAATATAAAGAACCTGTGGCAGGTAGGGTCACACCTGGCACCAAATTCGTTCCTGGAGGGGTAGGAGTCCATCTTCCTTTAAGGTAATGCAGAATCCACAAGATCATCATCAGTCCACTCTTCCTAATGGAAGGGAAAAACACAACACCTTGAGCAATGTGTGCATGTAGTGTCCTGTGTGTTCTTTATAGTCAGAATTTAAGAACTCACAGAAGGATTCCATGACAGAGGAAAGACTAAAAAAATATTATAAGTTGTGGCAAGTCAGGCCTATAAACTTAAAGCTAGTTTTCCATACCTACTCTTACATGGAGACAGTCATTGAGCAGCCCCTTGCAGCACCAGTCTGAGGTTAAGCTCATCCTTCTTACAGCTATGTAGAGATTTCCACCACAGCTCATACTGCAACCTCTTACTAGTATCTTGTTTTATGGCCTCATCACCTTGGAAGCTGAGTCACCTGTGCTTAACCACTACCTCTGTTTCCTCTATCTTTCAATCTGATGAGCCCTCCATACCAGTTCTGGCCTTCCTACTGATACTAACCTCCAGCTGCAAATAAATCATCTGAAACAATGTCTAGACGTAGATTAAAACTGACTGTGCACCTGTATACTACAGTCTAACGACAGGATTAATGAAGCCTCGAGGTCTGAGCAGTTTGCACCCACTATATGCTTTCAAAAAGTTAAGCACATTTTCTCTTTTAGGTCCTGGCCAGCTCAGATCTGCTCTTGCATGTGACAATTGCTCAGAACTGAAACTACACAAGTACAAACCCTTGGCGGTTCAGATATGTCAGTAATGAAAAGTCCTGAGTTTAGGACCTGTTGGAACTGTGCAAGAGCCTATCATGAAATGCTGTAGGCTACGTGAATTTATCCAATCAGGTTACTCCTTTGGAAAAAAAATTATGAATTAATAACAAGCTCCAAGAATCAAAAATGCCTCAAACCTTAGAGCATAATTAATTCAAATTAAACTGGGGCAGGGAACCAGTGAAATCTCCAGAGCTCATTTAGAGCTGTTCTCTATGTCACTCTGTCAGAAAGTGAAAAGTTTTGCCAGTGCCTGGCAAAATGGAGTTGCCTGTTTCAATATGTTTTTTAAGACTGGCATTTGGAGTAAACACTAGTCAAAGGTTTTATGGCATAGTTATAAAATACATTCAAGGTTCCACATTTTCTTAGAACATACCTTCAATGCTGGTTTTATTATAATCTTGTTTAAATAATTTTTTAGAATCTAGTTTGACACTGTAGCATCAACCTACTATGATAATCTATAATAGCAAGACTCCTTGAATTATAGAAAGACACAAATTTTGCATTTTATCCTCAGATTTTGGCAGACAACCCTCTTCAGCCTTTAGCACATTTTTCTAAATGTCATACTCAGAGTACCTTTGACTGTCAGGATGTAGTGTCTTTAGTAACAAGAGGAGTCCAGTTAAACACGGTTCTTCACACCTTCCAGAATGGACTCTCTACAATTTCCAGTCCATGTTACAAACAAAAGCTCTGGAAGGTGGTCAGATCAGATGTGAAGGACTACCTTAATTCTGTTTTCATTTGCTGAGTCACCCTCATCAGTTTATCTCCACCTTTTTTACACTTGGTCTTATAACCCAAAGTAGTAGCTACCAATCTGTAATTCATGCAAGCCCTGCTGGCAAAGTGGCTGATGTAGAAATTTAGTCCAGATTCTGACTTCTGCTTTGAGCAAGAAGCCAAATAAAGTAACTAAAACTTTTCAGAGCACAAGAAACAGCAGAAAGGATGGCCTGCGTGTTCTTCCCCCTCCCCACAAAAGACTGAGATATATAAGAACACTTGCAAGCACAGGCTAGTAAGAAATCTGGCTCACTTGGAAAAAAAAAAAAAGTTGAAAAAGACTTGGTTTGAGCAACAAGTAAAAGAGTAGTACAGATGCATAAGTTTGTCTCAGTAGCTGTGTCACTTTCGTCTTGGCAGTTAAGAGTGGAAAAAAAAGTACCTGTACAAAAGGTTTACTGACCTCATCCATTTTGGATTTCTTTGCAACATGTTCATCATTTTCATAACCTTTCCTCTTCCTCCTAACCCAGATGAGAAGTGAAATGTTCAGGTATTTTTATAAGTTAGACTCTTTCTATTTGACCACAAGATTAGATTATGGGCACACTTGTCACATAAAAAAACTACCAAAGCCTCAACAAGCAGCTTGCTCCAAATCCAGTGTCTACTGAAGTGAAAAGGGCAGAAAAGAAAAATCAGCAAGTTCTTTGCCCTCCATATAATTTAAGAAAACATTAACCCTTTACACAATTCTTGTTTTAATCACATGGTTTAAAAAGCCTTAGTTCTCACTGCATACAACATCAAGTCACCAGACCTTAGAAGCCACCCGGGATTCCCGTTTTTTTTAATCAGCCTGCAGTGCAAATCAGCACAAAAGAATGTATTTATGTATTACTGAAAGCACTATGTTGAATTTTGGTTCTCAGCTCCCAGCAGACACTCACATAGCAAGCATGTGAACATTGTGTGCACATTTAGAGGTTTTCAATTTTCAATCATTCATATAGATAAAAAATTAATGTTCCTATACCAATAAAATCAGCAGAATTTTAACACATCGAAGATCTACTTACAGGTTTGTATTAAGTGCAAGCTCAAAGGTATGACACTTCTCTAATTTCTGTTTCAGAGCAGCAACCTCTTCAGCCCTTGGCAGTTCATATTTCTTGATGAGATTTTTCATGCCTACAATGGCAACAACACAGCACTAAGCACATAAGTAATTTCTGCTCTGCCTTGTTGTGTTGGGTCTGCATGGCCAGGTGTTGGTAGTGGGGGGGCTACAGGGGTGGCTTCTGTGAGAAGATGCTGGAAGCTTCCCCTGTGTACAACAGAGCCAGTGCCAGCCAGCTCCAAGAGGTACCTACAATTGGCCAAGGCTGTGCCCATCAGCAATGGGCTAACAGATTTAAGGGAGGGGGTGAAAACCCACCTGTGCAACAGTAAGTGCTGCTGGAAAGAGGAATGAGAATATGTGAGAAGAACAGCCCTGCAGGCAGCAGGGTCAGTGAGGAAGGAGGGGAGGAGGTACTCCAGGCACCAAAAGGGATTACCCTGCTGATGAAGCTCCTGATAAGCCTATGGTGAGACAGCTGTGCCCCTGCAGCTCATGGAAGTCAACAGTATGGAGATCCACCTGCAGCCTGTGGAGGAGTCCACTCTGGAGCAGGTGGATGTGCCTGAAGGAGGCTGTGATCCTCTAGAAATACCATGCTACAGCAGGCTTCTGGCAGGGACCTGCAGACCCATGGATAAGAGGAGGTTTGCTGGCAGGACTTGGACCCCACGGGGTAGCCACACTGGAGCAGTGCATTTCCGGTGGACTGCACCCCATGAAATGGTCCCATGCTGGAGCAGTTCATGAAGAACTGCAGTACATGGGAAGGACCAACGTTAGATAAGTTCATGAATGACTGTCTCCTACAGAGGGATGCCACACCAGAGCAAGGGAAGAGCGTAAGGAGTCCTCTCCCTGAGGACGGAGTGGCAAAAACAAGCTGACTACAGTCCTCCTGTGCTGGAGGGAGAGAATTCAGGAGTGAAGCCTAGCCCAGGAAAAAGGGAGTGGCAGGGGAAAGGTCTTTGAAAATTTGGTTTTCATTTCTCATTATCCTGCTCTGACTGGCAGTTAATTAATTTTCCCCAGCTGTGTCTGTTTTGCACACAAGTGTGACTGGTCAGTGACCTCTCCCTGCCCTTATCTCAGTACCCAAGCTTTTTATTATATTTTTTCTCCCCTGCCCAGCTATGGAGGTCACTGATAGAGTGGCTTTGGTTGGGTACCTGGTGTCCAGCTGGGGTCAGACCATGACAAGCTTATCAGCAGCATAGCTACTGCTACTGCTTACCCCTCATAGCCAGGCTTGAGCCAACAGTTTTTCCTGTCTTCCCGCATTATAACTCTACTGAAACAAGTCACTAGCATCACTTCACTCTGGATTTCCTCAAGGTAAACTCTAATAATGTAGAGTTCATGTCACTGTGCTAACAAGCTTCAAAATACACAGGGGTTTTTTGCATTCAGCACTGTACGTCTGTCTTAAAAAGAGACTGGTTTCTGTCTTGTTAATAATGCAAGTAACATTTACAGCTACCTTTCAAGAAACAAGATTTTTTTCTCTATGACCAGCTTTTTGTAAAAGTCATTTACAAATGCTTCACAAATTCCCTTCCAACCATCATATGTTTATGGAAAAGCTGCCTTTGGGCTAAAGCTACCTTCCAGAATAATGGAAGAGAAGACTAAATGATCCAAGTGTTCCCTTTGATCTCAGCAATGGAAACCTGAAGACTGAATTTGTTAGAAGAGAAAGGGAAGGGCACCTTAAATTCTGTAAATTCAATTTAAATAGAATTTGTAGACCCTGATGACTTGTATGGTGCATTCACTACTCAAGTAAGCCTTGCCAAAGACTGAAGCTTCAATGCTACCACTCTCATTTTAAATGCATGCATTAGCCTAAAGCATCAAATAACTGATTACTTACTGGGAATTTCATATCCCAGCCTTTTCACTTAATTAAAAAAAGGTAATAATCAGCGGACTATATTCCCTATTAGCTAAACTATGGTAATATTCTTGGTATTTGTAAAATATATACATACACACACACACACACACACGTCTCACACTAGTGAAGCTAAGCATCTTTTGAATATGTTGACAGCTGCAAAAGAGAAGTGCAGCTATCAATCAGCTTACAAAAGGTACCCTCTGGTGGTAGTAGTAGTAATGTGCAGGCTTTGCCTGAAGCTGCAATTTTTAAGACACAGTGACTTGAAAAGTCATTTAATCCTGTCTTACAAAAACCATTATCTAGTTCCCAAAATAGATTTCTCACTTTTAAGTCAGGTGCTAGTCTGAAAGCATCAGGCAGGCCACTTCTCTTTTCATTTATTTCACTTGTTAATTTTCACTTGTTTAATTTGTTCATTGTGTCTCAGTGTTTTCTCCCCTTCCATCCACATGATCCATCCACACTGCCCATGTTTTCTTACCTTATGCATGCCCTGAGGTGAAGAAAACCACTTGAAGCACACCCTTCTGTCTAAAGCTTTTGTTATTTGGAAAAACTTGATTTTTTCTTCTTTAGATACTCTTTATCATACTTTTCCGATGTTTACTTACATTTCATGTCATCTAGTAGTCTGGATAAGGTTGATCTGTTCTCTTTCAGCATAAGACTCTCTGATAAATAGCTTCAAAGAGACATAGAAGAATAAATTTTTAAAGTGCCATAATTATTTGTGGCAGTTACTATCTGTTAATAAAAAGTGTATTATTTATTATTTATATCTGCTAGAGCTTTATGATTAGACTAAGTAAGAACACTTTGGTTATGTAAGTGCTTTAAAGTGATAAAAAAGCAAATCTGTCACTGTAAGAACTTGACAAAAGTATTCCCCAGCCATGTGAGAAACTGAAGTTCCAACACTGCAGAATTCAACATTTCTAAATAAGCCTCACAGAGCTAAGACAAATTAGGTTTAAGATTCTATGGTAACATCACACTATGGCACAGTATGACTATGGGACAAGCCAAAACTACAGAAGAGTGTTTTTCAGACTGACCAACAGACAACAGAGCTTGCAAGACAGGCCTGCTTCTTTTGGCAGCTAAAAGCCATTTCTAAATGCGGTCTTATAAGAGCCTGTGGGTCCCTTCTTCCTACTGAGATTCAAACTTCCTTTCAGTAAGAACACTAATACATGCACACACTGCCTGGGTAAAACCCACTCCTCACCAAGACTCACAACAACCAAGCAGTTTTATCCCTTCCATCATGGGAACGACAGGCTTTCAAAACCCTCCAGTGTTCTGTCCCAGCTCTGCAGGTGCACCTGCTGACAAGTCCACAGACTGAGCACTTGCTTCCCTTGTCCAGCAGCAAAAACTCAAGTAAAATAATAAATAACAGGGTTATAACAACTGCATAGTGCAGACAGGTCACAAAGACTTGAGTTCTTCCTGAACATGCAAACGAAGTTCAGATACCTCATTTCCCATGCTATCTACAAATTATTTTAGTACTTTTAGTATTTAGTATTTTTGCAAACACGCTTTTCTGAATTTTTGCACTAGCAGTAGAGAATTACAGATCTAGTAAGGAAGGAGATCAAGTTCAAGTTCAAGTAAGCACCTGAATGTTTTTATAAAATTTTGAAAGGACAGTGAACCCTGTAGATAATACTCTTTCTTTTTGAACAAGAGAGCTCTGATATTCATTCAGAGGAGGTTTATTTAAAAGTAACTAGTTTATTTAAAAATAACTGTTTGCATTTTGCCTGCAGGTGTTACACTCAAAATGCTCACAGGCATGTGATTATAACATGCCAGGTACAGCTCCTTACAGGAACTACCTGAGCTGTTTTTTCTGAAGAAAAGCATATGCTTTGTCTTTAAGAGAACCAAACCAAACGAACTACACATTTCAGCAAAGGTATGGAAGTGTTTGATAATGCCTGTGCAAACACCAGTGGCTAGGGCACAGAAAGGAAAGTGGGGACTGATTTAAAACAGCACCTTAGCATTAGTTTGTTTCCGTGGAAAATGAACAGCTGTACCAGCCAAATACAGGACTTAAGTTTCAGCATGCCTAGTAGCTGTCAGTTCAGTGTCATTTCAGTTGACTCTGGAACCTTAAAAATCCTACTTTTTCTTTAAGTGATTCTTAAGAAACTCAGTTGCTCCTGTATTTCCACTTTCTTCACCGTAATCTTTAAGATGAGCCTGAAAATCCTATACTGTTCTAACTGAGGCAAAGTCATCAGGTTTCTTTTTTTTGTTCCTCCAAAGGCATATAACAACCAGACACCAACTAACCGCATTTATCACCTACTTTTTGAAAGTGAAACCAACAGTACCACTACAATTCTGAAATATACCTAAAGAACATAACAGTGCTAACAACCAGTAAATACACAATTCTAATAGTTAAGAATGCCTGGAGCAAAATAATTTTATACAGGAACCAAATAAACTATTTAAATCATATCTATACAAAGAAAATACTACCTTTCCATATTAATTCCTGCTCTTGAACCACTAGATAATATGGCAGTGAGAGCTATCAGTGAGGGAGTAAAGAGCAGATATGCATCTGTCAGAGCCACTCGACTGAGGAAGTCATCAGCTGTTTTCCTCAAAACTTCAGGATTTTCCAGCACTGGGTATCGAGTCTAAAAAGTAATCATTTAGGAAAGTAAGTGGCTGCTCCTCCTTCTTGTTTGTGAGCTCAGAACACACAAAACAACAACACTTTACAAAGCTAAAAAGTAGCAGGCCTTCCTCTTTTTCCAAAAATAGCCTAAAAAGCTTAAAGACCAAAAATAAACAACCACCTTTAAGGTATTTGTTTATCACTTTAGCAATTAGATCTTTTAAGATCACAGGTACAAAAGGAAATAAAGTTTTCTAACACAACATGACAGACTTGTATTACTTTACTACACAGAGCATGAAGCACACCAAACAGGTTTTTATTACCTTCAAATCGATTAGAAATCCCTCAAATGGCCGGTATGGATTGTGGACAATGAGATGGAAGTTCAGTTGCTGAATAAGCAGCAGTTCATATTCCAGTATTTGTTCAAGAGCTTTTTCCTGTCCAAGAGGGCTTTCTCGAAGGTTACCAACGAACTGTGCACTGGATACATTAAATTCATCTACTTTACAGGCCAAAAATGCACACGTTAGCCTTGAGGAGGGAAAAAAAACCAAAAAAAGCAAACAATTGACTTATAGAGCATCGATTCTTTTATCAAGAGTTCTGTTCACAAAATTTGTATCTTCGAAACACCATGTTCTGAAGACAACAAATTTTTCCAAATGGAAAGTGAAACAGACCATACTTTGTCTTTATGGCTATTTAAGCTCTCAGATTTCCTTTCTCCTTTTTTTTCAGGTCTTCACAAATATAAAAGATTATACTTCCTAAGTTCCACTTGGCAGAATAACTCAAGAAGTGTTGATAACTCACATTATTATTCGAGGATGATACTCCATCACTGAGTTATTGAGGTAAAAGCGTTTAAAATACATGCAAGCTGTTCCCTAAATTGAAAAAAATGGAGAGAGAAGAAATAAAAATGGATAAAGAAAAAATAAATACATTAGAAAAATGTCACAGATCAGGCAAGTTTGAATATATACTACAGGCATACAGGATACACTAGGGCATTAAGACAAACACAAAGCCATGTCATTAAATATTTCATTTATGCCAGCAATATGACAGCCTTACAAAATCTTCTCTTTTATTTTTAGACATATTTTGCAAGACAATGCTCAAAAACCTTAAAGTATCTTCATGAGAAAAATCTGGTATTCAAATGAAATTTAAAAAACAAAGACTGAAAAAATATTATACCAGAAGTTGCAAGCAATCCTAACCATTTGAATTTTTCGATCAGTAATTTCTGGAACATATTTATCAACATGAAAACAGGTGTTTTCCAAAATCACTGCTTGACGAGACTCTACAGGGGCCACTTCTAAAATATAAGTCTGGTTTCACAGAATGTGCCATGGCAGCTACTGCCACCTTTCAAAGGCATCCTCAAGTGGGGCACTCTTCACCACACCTGCCAGAAGAAGGGAGGACTAACAGGGCACAAATACAAGCCATTCATCTTAATGGCTCGGCTTCAGCTGCAGGTCCCCAACGCTCCCTTCTGCAACACTCGCCCACATTCAAGGCAAGTCAGTTCAACGTATTTGTTTCTCCTTTGTAGGTTACTTAACTGCCAGTGAAAACGCTGATCCAGCTTATTCTGTGGTCAGACAAGCAGTAGTGCTTGAGAACGACAACCCAAATGCAGGACTGCCTTCTTTAGCTACTGTGAGACTGCTTTACTGTATCATCGCCGTTTTATTGTAACATCAATCGTTACCATCGACCACCGACCATTACTTTGTTTCTACCCTTTGCTAAAGGGTACAAACCACAACAGTTCAAGTCAAACAAAGCAGTCCAGTCACCCACGCAAGTGTAGGAGCCACAAGCAGAAGCAGGCACAGACTGCAATGCTGGAAGAGAGAAATTAGCTCTGAAGACATCCGCGGTCTCAAGAACAAGCCATGCAAACAGTAGCAGGCGAAAGGAGGGGGCCGAGGTGGACCGGTCCCAGCGCCGCTCACTCACCACCACGGACCGCGGCATCGCGGGCTTGAACACGGCGCAGAAGTCCAGCAGCCGCTTCTCGTAGTACTTGCATATCGCCAGCTCTTCGTGGGGCTCCAGGAGCACCAACTCGCCCTGCGGCACATGGGGAAAGGCAGAGCGGCGCCTCACTCGGACTGCCCCGCCCGTTCAGCTCTCGCCCAGCGGCCCTGCTCCTCCGCCCCCCGCCCGCGTTCCCCGCCCGCCCCGCGGGCCCCGTGCACCTTCCCGGTGGCCGCGGCCCTGCCCCGGGCCCGGCGGTTCGCCTCGGCCCGGCGCCGAGACAGCTCCTCTTCGCCGCGGAAGGTCCAGTGCCGGCGCTGGGTGCTGCTGTGGAACATGGCTGCACAACATGGCTGCGCCCGCGCGCGGCCCGCCGGGACTCGCCTCAGCGCCCGCCAAGGGAGGCGGGGCCGGGAGAGTTCCTGCGGGAATGATAAGGAGCCTGGCAAGAAGTCCAAACCAAATCAAATCAATACAAAGCCAAAAGTAAAACAAACAAACAAAAAAAAAACCCTCAACGTGATAAACTTCTGCGGAATAGCAGCTCTCTCTGTTTTTCTTCCGGTTTTAGCTGTATAAACTTGCTCCCTTAGATTCCTCCACTAGTCATTTACTCTCTCCCAAAGAACCATTGCGTATAAGATCCAATTATGATTTAAGGAAGCAGCATTTCATAGCCTCTTCTTTGTGCTTCAGCCAACAAATTTTAGATATTACTGCGCTTGTACTTGAAGTGTGCGAAAAAAGTATGTAGAGCACATGTGGACTGTCACAGGATTTGTAATTAAAATGATTCCTGGGGGGCAGACATGTAAAAGGTTCTTTTCTTAAACTACACAGAAAATAATTTTATTGCCTGTGTAGTCTAAATCTAGCATTCCTTTGCCTTAAATTACAGGAATTTAACATATCCAGCTTGAAATCAGACCAAACTTCAGTTTCAAGAACCACAGATACAAAAATACCAAATGGGTTTGTTGTCCATCTAATACTAACAGTTCCATCACGAATTAGAAATTATAAAACCCACATGTTAGAATAATGAATGACAACGTGTCACTTCACATCATCAGTCTTAGGGTACAACATGTAAGAATAGGAATGACAATTCCTGAAAAGGACAAGACCAGTATACGAGATAAAGCAGGATTTTTTTCTTTTTAAGTCTCCATTGATTTTATACCTTTCACTATTCAGAATCTGTACTTCAAAGGCTTATGAGTTTAAGTTTTATGGATACCAACCAACTACTGACTTCACTGATTTTAGTCCTATATTAACTGGTATCATGCACCATTAGTGATTCCAAAATTCAATCAGAAAATGGAGAAAGGCAGATTTAGATAACACATTTGAAAATGTAATAATAAAAAGCTTATGGCAGACTTTGGCAAGTTTGTGACCCAGTTATGTGCAGAACCAAGAATTTACTGTTTCTAGTGTTTCTATTGTTTTTCTCACAGTAGCACTTTTCATCTCTTTACCCACAGATCAATTTCAATATATTATCTCATAACCAAAGCAGTTAATAAAAATTACAAATACTCAGTGTGATTTTTGTGCAAATAACAAAATCTACAAAGAATGGTATAGAATACATTATTAAGGAGCAGAGTAAGTATAATTTTTTTTTTCTAAAATCAGAAAGATAACTACAAGAACTGAAAGGTTTTTGGAAAACTGAAGTCTAAACCTTTAAAACACATCAACTTAACTGTGAAATATAGAACTGTATTGGGTGAAGTATCCATGGGCGGCCATGACATTAGAGATACACTCTGATTTTGCATGAGTAGCTATATGAGTTATTAGTCATTTGCTCAATTCAGTCAAATGTGAATGTTTGCAGTCTGTCTTTTGTTCTGATTTTAAACATGACATGTGCAGGGATACTTGTTCAGAATTATGCAAGTAACAAGGTAACAGAGCAAACCTTAAGATCTAATAAAAGCTATCCAGTTGCCTAGGCATTTTAAAATTTAGCCATTTCTCAGAAAAATTGTCTGAAAGTGTAAATAATATCCACCACCTAAATATGATAAACAGAGCATACTTTGCCTGCTTGTGCCACAGAGGTCTTTTTCCTAATGTTTTTGTGACAGCTGTGGCTGCTGTAAATGTTGTGGTTTTTTTTTCTTTCTCTATTTGGGGAATACTGGGAACCAGAATCTCTTGGAACATCTAGAGGAGACTGAGAAGGACCAAGAAGCACCGCACACACCACCTAAGAAGAGAAAGATGCCTAAACCCCAGATGCTTCCCCTGTAGATTTTACTGTTGAAAACACTAGTAAACATTCATAAAAATAATTCAACTTTGATATTGATAGTGCCCTTTTAAAAGAATATGGGGGGAAGAGGTTGTGAACACAAGTGCATAGCCCTTCAGTTGAGTTGTCATTCATTCAGCTAAATTAACATAATTATTTTCCTGATTTATATTATTATTAAAATCATTATTATCATTATTATTAAGCCTAACTGCAAACTGCAGATACTAACTAGCCTAAAACATGGTAGTTTTAGAGAAGCAGTCACCCTTGTTGAAGATCCTGGAGAGAACTAAAAGCTTTAGAGGACAAAACACATCAATTTATTACCCCATGATGTTCATATTTGCTATATTTAATGCTACTGAGAATTTATCAGTAGTCCTAAATTCAGTGTTTTAAGTATTGTGTTTTAGTCCTCACTTTTTGAATGTTTTAATATCCTAGGACTTCTTGATTTTGCAGTGTTTGGCTATCAATTTTCCTAATATTGAAACTAGTTTAAATGAATTCTTACCTTTCTGGCTTGTGCTAACTAGTACTCACTAACAGCAGTGAGACTATTTCATCTAAGGAGCCTTTTTCTCTAGTCCCAAAATGTGCTTGTCTTTCCAAGCAGTACAAAAATGTATACATATATAGCTATAATTCACTTACATTGAATATGCAATACAAAGACATAAACTTTAAGATTCTCAGCAGAAATACAGACTTTAAATAAGCAAAAAAGGACTAAAAACCAGCAGATTAGAATTTCTGACCTTTGCATTTTTAAATATTAAGGAAAACCTTTTGCATTTAATACTGTACAACTTCAAAAGCACATTAAGTATACAGTCTCAAAAAAACAACAAATCATAGTAGCAAAACTGAAATATGCTGAGGCAGAGATGTTTGTTTATTCTTAAATTCAGGTATCCAATTCATTCAGCAGGGAGGGCTGAATTCCTGCTGGGCAATCAGAATTGGACATCCCATGCGGGGTGTCTATTGGAATCAGCACAAGATTTGCTTAAAGCCTAAGAGCCAAAGCTGGCTTTTGTGTAGGACAGTGGTTATTTTTGCCATTTTTCACTGATGTGTCCTGAATCAGTCACCAAGAATGTTCTGTTGCTTCCATTCCTTGTTTCTTGCTTTTCCTTCTCTATTTCTCCCTTCCCGACCTTGCTTTGATGTTCTTTGGTTTTGATTTCTTCACAACTTCATTCTTACCATCCCACTTCACTCCCAATATGTCATCTCATAAGAATATAATTAAATTATTGATACTGATGCTGAAAAGTCATCACTGGATTTTTGGATGGATGATATCCTGGAGTTAAGAAGAAACTGAGAATGTGGACTTCTGAGTCATTTATGCAACTGTATTCATAATCAGAAATTGCAGCTGTGGCATGTTTGCAAAGATTTCTTTGGAATCAAGTGTTCTTGAAGTGTACTTTAAAAGTGAGAGCACTTAGCCACTGAGGAATAAGAAAATAGCTTGAAGGCCACTTCCAACCTAGATGTGTGTTGAATACATCTGGTTTAGGTTTTTGAGCACTTCGAACACTCTCTTCAAGGTGTTAAGAAAACTTCCCTGCCCAACCATCCAGAGGAGCCACTCTAGCAGTCATTCTCACACCACCTGAGCTGGGACCGAGGCCCCTTCACAGCTACACGTCCCATACTCACACTGACAGACAGGGTTTCCTCACTGGCTCAATCTCAGGTTTCCCATAGCAGTCTCAGGTGTCCAGCTCTTTAAAATAATGTAGTTGCAGTGCAATAACTACATAACAAAATAACAGCTTGAGCTGATGCCTCCAAGGAGGAACCCTGAACAAAGGACCCCTGAGCTTTTATACCCTTACAGTCTAAGGGCAGGAAGGTCTGGGGATTGTCAGCTGCTGCTGTGTCTCTGAGTGTCCAGTCCCCTGGCTGAGCCACATGTCCCCATGCCATTTGTTGTGCAAAGGGTCAGCAGTGATCCGATTATATTAGAGAGATGCTTCTACCCAAATTAAGGTGCAAACAAGACCATATGCCAAAGTCAATAGTATGGATTTTATTTAACAGTAAATGTGAGATGGAGAGAGATAGAAAGAAATAGGAAAAAGACAGTGGGGAGTGGGGGGTGGGAAGAGAAAGAGAGTGACAGAGACACAGAGTAAGTAGAAAGATATCACCACTCGTGGATCCTGATGGTGTCCCGTTGGTCCTCTTCTTCTGGTCTTCTTGGTGGTAGGGGTCTTGCAAAACACAGAGTTCAATGGATGAATATATGTTCAGGTATATGTGAGAATGCCTAAGCACCTCCCCTGCAGGGGGGAATTTTACACTGTCTTTTGCAACACTGTGGATCTGTTGCAACACTGTGGATCACATGCAGTCATCTGGTGGAAGGCCTCAGAAATGAGTGTGGGAGCTACAGCTGCCCCCCACTGGACCCAGCCAGTGCTGATTTTCAGCACGGCTGCTGGGTTGGCTTTCCTTGTGGATACATTTTTCTCCCCCAGCCTGATTTACTTCTTCTTAGACCTGAGATAACTGGGCAATAGTTATCTTTATCTTATCTCAATTCCCATCAGCTGGCTTAGCTCATGGTACAAATTCCTGGAATCCAGGAGGCATATTTGGGAGGGGTGGGCTTTGGTGGTCTCAGCTTCTCTATACAGTTTGCGAGAGTGGACAAAGTCCTTCAGTGATCTTAACAGTTATGACAATTATGACATTTAAGTGTCTTACAAAAGGCTTATGATCATGAAAAGCCAAAGTAACATGTAAACAAATCTGAGATGCAATTTGAGATGCAGGTCTGGACCTGAATTGTACCAGAATGTAGTGCTCAGAGCTGGGGCTTTAGTTCACTTTAACATAAAGAAAAAAGGTTCTTGCAAAGGTAAGGTTTGATGTGAATTCCCCAAAATTTCAGGGTTATTTGCAGCTGGACCTTACTTCAAATTGCTACGTCGTTGCACAGCGATTGGAAAGTATGAAGATGAGCTGCTTTTACTAAAGATCTCTCAGTTGCATTGACTCTGTATGTACAGCCTGCAGAGATCCATGAGCACTCTCTCCTGTCCTAAGGCATGCAAATACTGAAAAT